AATTCATTTTTCTTAGGTAAAAGATATTTTAAATCTTGATATTTCATGTGTAATATATATAATACTCAAAACAATTTCTGATTTAGATAGTTCTTAGAAAACCAAACATGTACATTTATATAAGAGAAATATGTATAAATATTTGTAATAAAGTTCACAGAGATATAAAGTAGTATTTTTATTTCCCCATTTGGTATTGATGTTATATAGCGATGTTGAGCATATTTGCGGCTATGATTGCTGAGAAAAGGAGAAAAAAGATAGGCTTGAAACACAGCCTGAAATGTGGCACTTTGCCAGGACACTGAAGAATGGCAAATATGCCACATTTTAACAGCTGGATGCAGAAATATTTTTCTTTAATTTGGAAGGACCTTTTTTTTTCACAGTAGGGCAGTCTCAATAGACTGCGAGATCAAAGAGGGTGGGTCTGTTCGATCAAACATCATCTGGCTCCAGGGTGGAGCAAAATGAATGAACTGTCATGCGTTTTTTCTAGTATATAAAGCTTTGCCAAGTAAGAAGTAAAGAAGGTCCTATGGTTTATTCTACATCATAGACCAATGGATAATGGATAGCTCATTCCCAACATTTTCCTCTGATTCAGCTGACAAGAGATGCCTGAAGAAGCCCCCGGATTGATTGATGGTCCACTTTGTACTGTGGCCTCTGCTACTCTTAGAGATAAGTAGGACAGGGAAAATGTCGAGTAGCCCAGAAGGGCTCTTGGGAAAGGAACATGTTCTGATGTAAACATTCTAATCTCTACAAAAACAGTGTGGAACAATACTGAACAAAATCCACACTGGTGAGGCCACTGGTTTCACTACACAATGTGAACATATGCTTTTTCGCTAATTTCTAAAATGCCAGCTGAATGCAAATTTAAGGATTAGTTGCGCAAGGAAACGTGCTGATTTTCTAGCTCCCATCTAATGAATGTGAAGAATGGCAGAATGATGGGCTTTTATCAGCATTAAAATATGGCTCCAGCTTTTACAACCATTGCTCATTTATTTTATGGGGGAATTTCAGACATAGTTTAGCATATATTTTATTACTTGGACTTTAAACATCATCCTGGAAACTTGACAGTTCATCTGTTAAAAATATACAAAAAAATTTACAGTGTTTTCATTTTGGAATCTTTGCAAAAGAACTTAAAAGAATAACTATTATATGTAGGTCTTTTTGTAAGACTAAGTCTTTCAAAATTATTTTAGCTTGAAATATACACTTTCAGCAAAGTAGATCTACTAGATCTGTCCTGCAAAAATCTAAATGATCAGTAGGTACAGCAACATGCTAGATATGCCATCATCAGAATATGTGAAAGTCAAATCGTGTATCCTACAGAGACAATGTTATTGAGCTTCTTAGTTTCTCTCTGTCTCCAAAATGAAACAAGATAAGGTGGATGGATCAGAGAAAGGGTTTCTCTATAGTGACAAATTATTCTGTAGTGAAATTTACAATTCTAATTAAATTAGAAATAAGGCTTTATATAAGCATTTTTACAGTTTCGTATATAGCTACAAAGCTGATGCTAGTACAGACAATAAAATCTTGAGTTGCAGTTATAATGAATACAAAGAATGAGATACAGCAGGGATGTCAAATTGGCGGCCTCTGGCTGGATGCGTCAAATGCAGGCCATGCCCACTCCAGCTCTGTGTATGGGGAAAATGTCACAAAACATCACATGATGGCAACGTGATGCAGCAAGTTTAACACCTGTGAGATACAGGATTCTCTGTTGAAATTTTTAGTCAGTTTTTGGTAGGGAGTTCCAAATTTTCACAATTTTTAGTGAATATTCGGCAGGGATACCCAAACCTTTTCACCAGCCCTAACTTTGGCACAGTTTTTTCTTTTCTTGGTTGGCTCTCCATTGCATGGACATAATGCTGCTGCTTTAATATTAGGAAGTTGATACTTAATACTGAGTGTGTTTGAGAATTCAGAAAAAGCACTGTATACTAAATTTTGTGAAATTTTATACCTTATGTAAGCCAAAAATACTTCACCAGTGTGGCAATTTAGTTAGGAAGACTAAGTGAGAGTTCTTAAACAAAGACTCTGTGCCAGTTCAAAATTAGCTTCAAATTAATTGATATGAGATCATTTGTTGAATTCAGCAACTGATTGAAATTTCTAGAGGAAAAGGGTTCATCAGTAACTTGGAATACCATTCATGCAAAGCAGTATTTCATTTTGCAATGATAAAGCTCTTCTGTTTCATTGGAGCAATTGTTTGCTACCTGTCAGCTTTTGAGTTTCAGCGAACCTAATGGGTCCTTTAGGAGGAATAGCTCCTGAGCGTCATTGTCTGTTACCAATTGTCTTTGAGGTTTAAGAGGGAGGAGGGCTGATGCTTATTCTTAGCAAGAATGAAATTGACGAGCAGAAGGAGAGGAGGGTCTGCTTTCCTTTTCTCTTCAGGACAGCTCAGAACTTTTGCTTACTTTTCTCTCTTTTGAATTGAATTGAATTGAATTTATTGCACTTATATGCCNATATATATTATATTTAAATGTTTATGAAGTGCAAACTGATTTTAAATCTTCCTCTTGACACAGAGGAAATAATTTATTTTTTAATATGCTTCATAAACCTTGAACACTAATTTTATCATCATTTATTTACAGCAATATCTTAAATTCATCTGAAGGAAATCCCATTCAGTTCAATCAAGCTGACGTTAACCATGTTTTAGAATTATACCATTCAAAAATAAGCTCTATTGGTCTCTCATTGCTGATTTTTATGAGTCAGTATGAATAAAATCAGTGGTGATTGTTTCAGATTGTTTGATATGTAGTTATTGTTAATACTTAGGATTTTGTTTAAAAGCGTGTTCAGAAATAACACATGGGTAATTACACTAAAAAGAACAGAAACATACAGAATATCTAATTCGTGTCATAAAAGGAAATGAATTATGTTCAATTCTTTAGCCGAGCCATTGTAGCTAGAGTTATTTTAATTTTGAGTAATTGTCTTTATTTTTAATATTTTACCCCTTTATTTTTTTTAATGCTCCTTAAATGGGCAAAAAGTTAGGAAATAAATGCTACAGATATGCAGCTAAATGAAATAAAAATGAGGCAAACTAGTCTGGATTCAGCATTTCATTCAGCCGGTGGTAGAATTCCTTAAATAAATGCTATTCAGAATGTTCCTACTGGAAAAAGCAGGGAAGCCAAATCTGACTGATTATCTTTTCTTCTGTAGCTACTCATCATTGGTTGCTATGGCAAGACATGTTGGTAGAAATTGCACTGTACTCCATTCTTTCAGCAGAAATTAAATTGAAAATTAATTCTGTAGCTAGTAAAATTCTAGTAGCTAGTAAAAAACCATTGCGGGAACCAACTTTATGAATTTCTAATATTCATTTTAGGAAGAGATGAAAATATTTCTAGCTAGCTTTTACTGTGGTCTATTTATTTATTCTGGCCAAACAATTGGCTATTTAAAAAGCATTAAATACTATATGTCCTCTTTTATAAATTTCTTAACCATTTTATAATTTAGTTTAAAAAAAGTCCTATTCCTTGCTTGTCTTGCTCTCCAGTGACATTCACCACAGCTTCCTTTTATGGCATACACAATGATTCTTAAGAGAACTTTAACTGTTCTCTTGCTGCCTTTTTATTGAAGAACACCAGACTATTTATTATCGAGTTGATTTTTATGCCATTCACATGTTATCCAAGGAGATTCAATACATTGANGTGGAGTGGGAGGGAATAGAGATTTTACAGTATCTTTACCCTGGAGTGGGGTGGTAATGGAGATTTTATAGTATCCTTCCCCTGTCATGCCCACCAAGCCACACCATGCCCACCAAGCCACGGCCACAGAACTAGTAGTAAAAAAAATTTGAATCCCACCACTGGTAGATATCTATGTGTGTATGTATGCACATACATACAGAGCAGGGCAGAATTGAAATGAATCCAAAGAACTTCAACCTATAATACAGCATCTCCTTGTTATTGTTTAAAACAGTTCAACTTTGTTCAGGCTACAAAGAAGACAAAGAAAAGTTGTGTTAAGGAATTCCATTGAGTTAATTCTATTAAAATTAAATCTGTTGAAAATAATTATATTTTCAAAATGTTCCAAAATATTCGGCCTCCCGGTGTATTATTCAGTTATGATTCTGTTAGTTTTGTGAAAATACACTTGGAACATTCTGACATTCCAGACAAGTTACTTTGCTGAAAAAGTATGGATCCATTGTTCACTTTTGACTATATTAGCGACTTTTAAAAACCTGCAACATTATTCTGGATTCTGAAGACATGCAATTTATTAATTATCTTCATATCCGTTTTAAGTCACTGAATGCTAAGAAACAAAATATGTGCCTTTTTATGCCCAGAATATCTCATTTTGAAATGTCACATCAACTATCACCAATTGCTGGTAGCTCGTTATCTGTCAAGCTATCAGCAGACAAGCTGGGAGTTTCCATGATGGTATTTTGCTCTATTAGACATTTTCAGGGAGTTAGGATTACATTCAAAAACTGTACAAGTATTGCTAGTTAGGCATGATATATTTAAATTATATTCGTAAGCAAAAGGCTGCAAGCTTGAAAAATATTTGAAATGTATGGGTTTAAAAAATATTTTAAATTGTCTTAAAAAGTTGTTGGGCACTATGTAGTATCAGGCACTTTTAAATAATCTTAGATTTTACATAACTGTCTGCTTTGTTTGAATGCTGTTGAGGGATACTAGCTACAATTTAGTTCTTTATTTATAACTCAACTTCTGTAAATTAAAAAAAGTGAAGCAATACTGAATTTTTAAAAATACATAGCACGCTTTTACTCTGCAGAGTAAACTAGATTATGATATCTGGGATTAACAGAATGCATTGCTTTTGTTAGACAAAGTTTTCACTCAGGTGATCAGGAGGATGCACTTTAATAAAAAATATCTTGGGGTTCTGATTCATTCTTTCTTTCTCTTTTATCCTATGACTAGATCAAATATATTCTACCGAGCTTGCATGGATATTCCCAGAGGCACTGAGTTGTTGGTGTGGTATAATGACAGCTACACATCTTTCTTTGGAATTCCTTTGCAGTGCATTGCACAGGATGAGAACTGTAAGTGGAATTATCAAAAAATTGTATCTTATCTGCATCCATGTTTTGTATTTAGATTAAAGTAGATCCTTATCCTATGATTTCGTTGTATTTAAGTACAATGACAATAAAGATTATACTTATACTTATGAACTGAATCATGTCAACAAACAAACATGAATTTTCCACCTTAGATATAAAAAACTCTTCTGAAGGTGCTAACTATGGAAACTAGTAGTATGATAGTACAAGATATAGAATTATTACTTATGATTATAATAAATATTTGTTGCATTTGAAGACTATTAACTTGAGGGTTTGCAAGACTCTTAACTTAAGTACTGCAACACTAATCAGCGAGAAGCAGCTCATTACTAAAAAGAATTTTAGGAATTGCAATAGCACTTAGACATATACCGCTTCATAGTGCTTTTACAGCCCTATCTAAGCGGTTTGCAGAGTCAACAAATTGCCCCCAACAATCTGGGTCCTCATTTTATCCACCTCAGAAGGATGGAAGGCTGAATCAAGCCGGTAAGAATAGACAGGCTATACCCTTTCTTTCCATTAAGATGTTAGTTAGGATCTGGAAAACCCATCAACTTAGTGAACATTATGGAGCAATATTAATCTTATAGATATTATGAAATCAGCAGTGAAATTTATCACCTGGTTCATCACAAAAGCTAGTGCCACATCTCCACTGTGTGCATATACACTTCACTAGATAAACACCAAGTCTGTATCTTTTTAAGTTAAAAAAGGGAAGGGGAAACTGACCTTGCTGCCAGTTGTTGCATGTAAAGAAATATATTCTCCTATGTTTAACCTAAATGAGAGTGGTTTGCATTCAAAAGGAAGCGACCTGGTCCAAATATATTTCTGCATCAGTTGTAACATGTTCTAGCCACTGCATCATCGACAGTCTCAGATGCTAGATCAAACAACCACAGATATATAATGGGGAGACAGAGCAAAAACTAATGTAACAATATGTCCACCTTCTCAGTAAAACATTTAATATAATTTATTTGTTCCCAGGCTCTGTACATAACTCGACCTGTCATGAAACCTAAGTATTTAAGGCAGAACACAGCCTGTGTTTTTTATTGTTTTTATTTATCCTGCATCAATTTCCTTCCCAATTTTATTTATCCTGCATCAATTCCCACCAATTTCTTCCTCTGTTTTGCAATGTGCCAAATTTTACATGAAATTTAGAAAGTCAACAAACCTATTCTCTTGTTTTATGGAAATTATGATAGGTATCAATGACACATTGTAAATGAAAAAAACAACCATGATAGCTTCAAATTTTGATTTTCTGAGGGGTATAGATATTATGGCAAAGCACAAGTGCATTTAAATGGGGATATAATGGATTGCCATTTCTCTTCCACATGAGGAAGTGCATGAAATGAAGTGTGAGGAGTCATTGATATTATTGCTTGCTGGATAAATAATTAATTTTATGGTTTCTGAAATATGTCAATTACACGCACACATATCATAATTGAAAACAACTGTAATTATTTTAGATATCTGTTACACTTGAAAAATTGAATTTCATTTAATCACATTCTGTGTACAATTTTGTATATTTCTCTTATTCTTGTCTATTCAGACATAAATTCCATGTCATGCACAATGATTCTGGGTGGCATACAATTAAAAAGTATAATAATCAAATTAAAAACAAAGAATAATTTAAGTGAAGGGATGTGGATTATACCCATCCCACCTGCTTTGAAAAGTTCTTGTTTGAAGAAAATATATAAAACATCCAGATTTATTCATCTGAACTGAATTGCCTGCCTAATAAATTGTTTTTCTTCATGTATATTTGTGTAAATTGTTTGTTTGATACTAATTGTACATCAGTTTTTCACAATTGAGTTTTAAAATTTGCAAAAGAGAAATAATGAAAAAAAAATCATTTATAAATGTTAGATAGGTATGTCCAAGATTATTTCACATTCTTATAGTGAATAAGACTTTGTTGCCATTGTTATGAAAATAGTGATTAAATTCTGAAAACAATTGGTTATCATGGGTTGTAAGTAAGATTTTCCATCTTTCTAATGCCTCTGCAAAAGAAAACAATCACAGTGGCTAAAATAGTCTGTTTTTGCAGTGCTGTTCTTCCACTTACCATGATGTTCATGGCATGAGGAAACACCCAGAAATGAAATCTCAAATTTGCTTTTGGAGTACTTTTTTAACACTTCCTGACCACCATGTACAGGACTGCTTGTGTAGATCAGGAAAAAATTCATTGCAATGCTTATCTGTTTACTTCTACTATTAGAATTCAGCGCTTTATTGTAAATACAATGAAAGATAAGTAGATTATGGTGTGTGTTTACGCGAATTGTTTTTTTTTCATATTTCTGAAGGCTGTGTTATAATGACAGGAATTTTCTGTCCCCCCCCCCTTCCACCCTAGTGAACGTTCCTTCAACTGTTATGGAAGCCATGTCAAGACAAGACACTCTCCAGCCATTCAGCAAAAGTAGCAAATCACCCTCTGCCCCTCCACAGCGATCCGTAGTCTTTCCACAGACTCCATGTAACAGGAATTTCTCTCTTCTGGATAAATCGGGTTCTCTCGAATCAGGATTTAACCAGATCAATGTAAAAAACCAACGAGTTCTTGCAAGTCCGACATCAACAAGTCAATTGAATTCTGAGTTTAGTGACTGGCATCTTTGGAAATGTGGGCAATGCTTTAAGACTTTCACCCAACGGATCCTCTTGCAAATGCATGTTTGTACACAGAACCCTGACAGGTAAAAACATGGGCACTCTTTACTTCTCTATCTGCTTATATAGACAACATTGTTTTTGCTTTATCAGGCTGACACTCTTTTCAGCAACAGAGCGTTATTAGGAGGAACCTGTGCAGAGCAATTCATCTGCAGCTGTATGAAACATACAGATAATGGCTGTAGGTTAGTGTTATTATTTGTAAAAATATTGGGCACCTAAAGAGACAGATAAGAGGAAATGGCTAAGAATATAATCTTAGTTTGGTGCATCTCTTGGAAAGTGGAGGAGGGGGACAAAATAGAAGGAAAATATATGGATATACCAGATGGGGAAAAACAGGTCAAGATAATTAAAAGTCATTTTATCTTTGAGAGATAATATAACTTGTGGCTCAGCAGCTGTCATAGCCATTTCAGGGTTCACCTATAGTGTGCAATGTGTATGAACTTAATTAAGTACTAAGGGGTAATGAATTGGAATTTTTTGCTTAGCACTATTTTTCTTCAGAGCATGCAAAGCCATAAATCGTGCAAAGCTGTCAAAAGGAAATACCTACTCCACTAGTGATGTGGAGGAAAACAGATGCCATTTATTCAATAAACTAATATCCACACCGAAGAAAAATGTTGACTAGATACCTCAGAGTCAAAGTTGGTTGAAAGTTTGTCAATACAGAATTTTATGGCCATGAACTGAGGATGAAATTTAGCTGAACAAGTGAATTAAAATTTCAGGTATCCTGACCGGTGGCCCGGTAGAGATAATGGAACTATTATTTATGAATCAAATCTGGTTTATTTGACAATCATGATAGCTGGCAGCACAAAAGGCAAAAATCAAATTAACCCAATAAAAATATTGTTTGGGATTTAGTGACAAAGAGATGCTTTAACAAAAATGATTGAATGTCCTGGAACAATCATTTCAGAAACAATCCACAAATATTGTTCTTATGCTACTTTAGTGATGAAAAGGAGCCTTAGCAGATTAGAGAGAAGTTTTGAAAGCCGATGTGCTATTTTAGTAAACATTTAATATGTTTTCATTGCTGAGTATAAATCTATTATCATTTTATAGGAATCTCATCAAAATACATTAATCATGTTTACTACTATAGAACCTCAGGTTTTTTCCCCCCAGTAAATCTTCTATGTGGGATTTTCATTAGAATAAATTAATAAATGTGTTGAATTAATAGGTGATCATTTTCAAGAAGGGGAAAAAAGACCTTTTCAATATGGCTTGAAAATTTCCAAAGGAATTTAAGCTATTCAACCAGAGATCTAAATAGATTTGAATGGATGCACAGGTCTCTCATTGTTTTGTTAATTTCAATAAAGTGATAGACTGTATGGTGAGATATATGTATTTAATGGTAATATTTCCACTGAAGTAAATTAGCTAATTTTCCAAAATATTTATGCATGTACTGTAGTGAACATCAAAAATTCTTTGTCTGTAAGAAATCAGATCTTTGGATTAAAGTCAAATTCATGCTACTATCCTCACTGCATTAAAATGTGCAAAACATTGAGCCATAATTAAAGCATCTACAATAACAATTTAAAGGATTTAAAAAGTAAGATAGCATGCCATTTTTAAAAATTCAAATGTCCATTGCCTCCCACAATTAATTTATTTGGACATTTAATCATACTAAATTATAGTAATGTTTCTAAACCTGGCTCAACCTATCACTAAATCTTAACTGTAACCTTGTATTAATGCTGAAGCTCACAAAACAATCTTAAAAAAGCAGCCATTTAGATTGTTTTGCTATAAGATTGGGCATAGTCTGAAGTGAGATGAAGGAAGATGTTTTTCATCATGTTTTACAAATCACATTTGAATTTATCTGGAGGTTCCACATGTATTACCCTGTTCGCCCAAAAATAAGATCTCCCCGGATAATAAACCCAATCATGCTTTTGAACACTTGTGCTAAAATAAGCCCTCCCCCAAAAATAAGCCCTCCCTGAAAATATTACAACACAGCAGCAGCCATGAAGCTCGCCACTTCCTGCACCTCAAAAATAATAAGACGTCCCC